AATTTGTGTCAGTGGATTCTGTGCACTTGGTTGCCAGGGAAGTTGCACACACAGCAAGCAATTTCACGGTGCTCTGAATCGCAATATTTCAAATTTACCAAGTCAGTCTCTCTAGCTCTGTCTAAGATAGCCTTTCTGCCTTTGATTTCTTTCTTAACCTCATGCCTTGCCTGTTTGTCAGCTGCATTTCTATCACCAAGTCGCGATGCTTTGTGTTTAGGTGAGAGGATTATGGTATACCTTCCACGCTGTGCTGACACAAATCCAGAAGTTAGAAAAGTCTCTGCTCAGGTCTGTACTTGGATGAATGACTAGCATTGTCCACTAGGTTTATGGGTTAAAACAAAAGATTTACAAATATATTTTTCTGGGATATTTTTTTTTATTGATCTCTAACTTGTCAAATGGTTTAGCATATAGATGATATACTATTTGATTATCATCTCCATCATCATGATTTCTTGATTGATGTGTTTTTTCTCAAGATCTTTTCTTCCTCTTATTACCCTCAACCAAAAACTAAAGAATAAAAAAATCTCTGACAAAATGCTCTTTTTTCCTTGCATATCCTTATTTATTTCCCTCTCATGTCTCTCTTTCTTAATCTTGCTTTTCTGACCTTGCAGATTCTTGATCTTTTTTTCAGCATATCTCTATCACTACCAAGGCCTGTAAACACTATTGTTGGACTTGATATAGAATTGTGTTATAGTGCTTTGTCCTCCCTTGAGGATGTCATTGCTATCTTAAAAAGTGTAAGCCTATTCATAATTCTCTCGTTTATAATTTTTTGTTTATAATTTTAGCTTGAAGTAAGGGAGAAGGAAAGCATAGGTTGTTTTTGTAGTCATACATTTCTTTTCCTATTATTTGAATATTTTATTTTGCATCCCACTTGTTATTGTGTTTGTAGGATGCCTCAATTGATCCGTCAGAAGTATTCAACAGGGTTGTTTCATCTGTTTGTACATTATTTACTAAGGATGAGGTATGGATCTATCTGTACCTATGAAAAGTTTCCATGGACAGGGATAGTTGAAAACTTTAGACAAGACCTCATGCTGTTGCCAATCAATTGTACAGCTTGTTGCTGCTCTACATGTTTGCTCAGGAGCTATATGCGACAAAATCAAACAATCTGCAGAAGGAGCAATTCAGGCTGTGATTGAGTTTGTTACGGATAGGGGGAAGGAGCTGAACGAGTCTGATATTTCAAGGTGGTGTCCAAGAATTATTTGATATTTGTAAAGTTGGGAGGATTGGTTTGTTTCTCGTTTATTTTCCTCCAGGAGATAATAAATTTGAATTTGTTTTAAATATGGTGCATATGTATATGCCAACAGGACGACACAATCTTTGCTTTCTGCTGCAGTTCATGTGACTGAGAAGTACTTGCGTCAGGAAACTCTTAGTGCTGTATCCTTTCCATCTGTATTAATTATTCAGTGAAGCCAGTTATTAGTACTACCACGTGCCCGTTTTATTGTTGATCTTAGCTCAATAATAATGATTCAAAGCATTCAGTTTCATTGCTGTCAGTGGTTTCTTTAATTCCAGAAGATCTGTTCTCTGGCTGAGAACACCAGCTCAATAATTGTTTTCAATGAAGTATTAGCTGCTGCTGGAAGAGATATAGCCACCAAAGATGTATCCAGACTACGTGGTGGCTGGCCAATACAGGAAGCCTTCTATGTGAGTCTCATTTCTTGGTCATTTAGTGTCTTTAAGTGGGTTCTTACATCTTTGCTTGACATTTTTTTAATTACTGTTTGGCGTCTTTGCAAGGTGCAAGATAGTGGGTCCTCCCTCACTATTACTTTGCACAGTAGATTCCCCCTTCAACAGTTTTTAATGCTTTTATCAGAAAAAAAAATGTCTAATACTGGAATTACCCTTCAAAAAGTACATTGATTATATCTTAAACCCCATTGTCAATGCTCCCCCAAAGGTCTCTAAATTTTACATAAAGAACTAACCTTTCTCTTCCACTGTTGCTTACTAGAGACATCGTGATTAGCTGATACTTTGACAACTAACTTCAAATACATATTTTTGTGACAAATCAGTAATCATCTGTCTGACCATGAATGATTGGTCTAATAACTTTCTTAGCCCCTATTTGGGTTTCATTATTCCACATTTTAATGAGGGGAATAGTAATTTTTTGAAAAATGTGTGGTTGAAAAAGAAGCAAAAGTTTTTAGATTTACGTATAATATTATTTTATTGAAGAATGTGTGATTGATAAGAAGAAGGAGAAAAATGAAATTTAATTTAATGGGGGCTAGACGGGCTTAGTTCAGTAAAAAAAATTTCTGCAGAACCACCTGCAAGAATTAGGGGAGGCTGGTATTGCCATCAATCAACTGCCCCGTGCGCAATGTTTCTCTGCCCCTGCCCAATGTTGCACATTATATACCATATCATTTTTTTTTCTATTTATTTCAGTTTTTATTGTTTTGGTCCTGAGACGCTGATGATATATTTATATATTTTTTTCCATTTTCCTTTTCTTTTGGGGATAAATAGGCATTCTCCCAGCATGCAGTTCTTTCATATTCATTCCTGGAGCATGTAACTTCTGTTCTGAATCGGACACCTACCCTTAGACGTGAATCTGGAAAAGGAGAAAATAACAGCAATTATGTTGCAAGTCACGTAAAAGATGATGTTTGCCAGGCAGCTGTTATAGCTCTCACTGCATTCTTCAGGTCTCTTTTTAATGACATTATATAGTTTGTCATGTTTATTCTACAGCAATCAACATTTTTATCCTTGTTAATTGCAGAGGTGGTGGTAAAGTTGGAAAAAAAGCAGTAGAACAAAGTTATGCTTCTGTCCTCGCAACACTTGTGCTTCACTTGGGAAGTAGTCATGGTTTAGCTAATTCTGGCCAACAGGAACCTCTGCGGTATCTTGCCAATTCACAAACATTGACACATGCCAGGCAATTGAAAATACTTTTTCAGTGTTTGTGCTATATTCTTTACATTCTCTACACTTGATTTCAGTGTGCTACTGGTTGCATTTACCGCCTTTTGCGAATGTGTGGGTGATTTAGAGATGGGAAAGGTACATAAGCCTAATAGTACTTTTGCAGCAGTGAATTGTTTGGTTTTTGAATTTTACATTGTACATATTGTATTGCAGATTCTGGCTAGAGATGGAGAAAATAATGATGACGAGAAGTGGATTGGTGTGATTGGGGACCTGGCGGGCTGCATTTCCATTAAACGACCAAAAGAGGTACCTATTCTAGTCAAACTTAGGTTATCTGCGTTGTTAAACTATATTGGTAATATGCCAAAGCCCACTCTTGCGAAGTCACCAATGCTATGAAAACTGAGTAATTTATTAATCTAACACTTTGAGCTCATTTATAACCCCGGGGTACGTTCAGGAATGAAGCTGTGTAGGTGCTTTAAAGTAATGGGGAATACTTTGGCACTGCGCGCTCGCGCGCGCGCGCGGGGGGGGGGGGCTTCACTGTATAAGCTGGTCCAGGATTATGTACGGCCTTCATTCTGATGTCAAGGTTTAAATGATGGCAATTGTGAAGCCTGTGAGTCTCATATTTAGTGTGAGATTCAAAACATGTTATCTAGAAAGACAAGTTGCAAGAAGCATTTGGGACAAGTCTCACTAGAATTATGTTTCCTTTTGAAAAAGAAAAAAGAAAGAGATTACAGAGAAAGAAAGATGAAGAAAGAGAAGGTACAATGATTAGGGGTCTAGAAGAGGATAAACAAGGAGATAAAAATGAAGAGAGAGACAGGTGCAAGAAGAAAAGGCCAACATAACCATATTTAGGGTTTCTATATACTGAAATCTGCCTTTTAGAGTTGGAGTTCGAAGTCTTTACAGTGACACATTAAGGTCTAGCCTTCGATTGCTATCAGCCACATCTAAGGGCCCAATGAGACCTATGCTAGAAAAGTACTATAATAACATGAAGAGCCCCCACATCTTAGGAACTGTGCTTAATCCAAACTATATAAAAGAAATTAAGAAAATCAATGATCTCAATATCTACTCGTTCATCAGTTTTCAACATAATTCAGAATCTCCAGAAGAAAGAATAAAAATGTAACCTTTGGAATCTGGAAATGTACAATTCTAAAGAAAAAGAAGTACCTCAGGTATGTTAAATGCTTTGATAGATGTATGTATTCTTTCTTTGAGTATGTATCAAAAAGTATATAGTTATGCTACATACCCTTTTTTTTTTTTTTTGGCATAATTTTGC